CAAACATGTGTGTGCATGATGTGTAACATCACCAGGAACCTTTTTAAGTTTCTGGTTGGAACGCTTGGCATAAGACCATGTGTTACCGATGAGGCGCCTTTCGGTTCGCAAGGAAAAGCTAGGAGTTGAGCTCATGTGTAATGTCGCGACATCGACCAAGTCCTACATGATCCTTGACTGGCCATTGAGGCAGAAAACTGGGAAGCATCAGGACGTGCCAGCCCCACACGCATGACAATGGGTGGAACAATGTCATAGATGTCCGACTACGCATCCGACGATATGAGACGTGGTACAAACACACCACTTGTTGCTTGTGTCAGAGAGGACTGATCAACACAATCAAGGGTGGCGGCAGATGGAAGCAATCCGTTGCAAACTGCTTGGCACACATTTGGATGTCATTGTATGACTGCATCCAAAAGCAAGGTTTCAAGTGGAAGATCAACACCAACTGCGAGTACACGGCCTGCTCGAGGTTCTGAGGGAACTTTCAAGCATATGTGGCGGTGGAGTATTTGTGGGTATCAACAACCACCCAGAATTCCATCAGAGCACTGGCAACCTGATGCTGACCGCGACGAAAGTGATGGAAGTGTGTGCGAACGCGGGCGTCGTGGTCGTGGTCACCGACAATAATCTCATGATTCCAAGCTCTTCTACGTGTTGCAAAAGAAGCTGATCGTCGAGATGATCATGGATGTACTTACGCTAGACGCGCGCACGGTTTCCGACCTGGAAGATGCATGTGTGGGCATGTCCCCGCTGCAATTCAGCGTGCCCCAGGGCGCAACAGGTGGTAATGTCCGCTATTACTACAAGCCGGACTTCACTGCTCACTTTAACAAACAGAAGAAGTATCATGAAAAGCAACGAAGGAAAAACATCAACAAGCTTGAAAGCGCTTTCAATAACATGGAAACTTTCGTGCAACACCTCATCGCGAGTCTGTTTAACAAGAAGTTCGTGAAGAAATCGGTGGCATCACGCTTGACAAGGACTCTTTCGCAGACTACTTCCGCAGCAGCAATGGAAAGCGACAAGCTGTCGTTCATCGTCACCCATTCCGATGGAACGAACGAAGAAGAAGAATACAAAATTCCGCGTGTGGGGCAACTATATGGAAACGCTGTATGCGCCTTGTGGATGTTGGTTCATGGGTCCAGGCATACCGTGTTTTCTCCACCAACAATGAAGAGAAGTTGGGAGATGGACTGGAGACCTCAGGTTCTTCGACGTGATATGGAGTTGCCAAAGTGGGGGAACGTTTGCCAATACCGACCGATGCTTCTGAAGCCGGTTCATCAGGTCAAAAAAGGAAAGCAGGCAAGTCCGATGAGGGTTAGTCGTAAGCTCGACTATGCCGAGGAGCCTGAAGCCAAACAATCGAGCGTGAGGACATTGCCTCAAGACAAGCAGAGCTGTTGCGGATGTTTGAGAACCTTTGCGATCGCGCTAGCAAACTTCAGGTTTGCGTGAAGCGCCCATGAAGGAACATGCAAGGACACCGGGCAACTGAGTCTAACTTGGCACGTGGCAAAATTACAATGCTGTTTCTTCCAGAAGGACATCCATCAATAGATGAAGACATGGTAAGATGATGAACAAATGGCTCCAATGTTCAGCAAACCTTGAGAACCGCATCACGGAGGAGCCGATCTATCCGAGGGAGGAGTTCCACAAGTACAATTACTAACGTCGTGAATTGGCTACGTGGTTGATTCCTGGCAGTGAGTGAGTGAGTGAGTGAGTGAGTGAGTGAGTGAGTGAGTGAGTGAGTGAGTGAGTGAGTGAGTGAGTGAGTGAGTGAGTGAGTGAGTGAGTGAGTGAGTGAGGAGCAAGCGAGCAAGCGAGCGAGCGAGTCAGTGAGTGAGTGAGTGAGTGAGCAAGTCAGCTTGAGTGAGAGTCAGTGAGTGAGAGTCAGTGAGTCATGAGTCAGTGAGTTGTCAGTCAGTGAGTTGTCAGTGAGTCAGTGAGCCAGTGAGCCAGTGAGTCAGTGAGTCAGTGAGTCAGTGAGCCAGTGAGCCAGTGAGTGAGTGAGTCAGCGAGTGAGTGATCAGTGAGTGAGTCAACGAATGAACACATGGGCAAGTCAGTAAAGTGAGTCAGTGAGTCAGTGAGTCAGTGAGTCAGTCAATAAGTGAGTGAGGCAGTCAGTGAGTCAGTGAGTCAGCAAGTGAGTCAGTGGCCAGTGAGTCAGTGAGTCAGTGAGTCAGTGAGTCAGTGAGTCAGTGAGTCAGTGAATCCGTGAGTGAGTGAATCCGTGAGTCAGTGAGTCAGCGAGTTCATGAGTCAGTGAGTGAGTGAGTGAGTGAGTGAGTGAGTGAGTGAGTGAGTGAGTGAGTGAGTGAGTGAGTGAGTGAGTGAGTGAGTGAGTGAGTGAGTGAGTGAGTGAGTGAGTGAGTGAGTGAGTGAGTGAGTGAGTGAGTGAGTGAGTGAGTGAGTGAGTGAGTGAGTGAGTGAGTGAGTGAGTGAGTGAGTGAGTGAGTGAGTGAGTGAGTGAGTGAGTGAGTGAGTGAGTGAGTGAGTGAGTGAGTGAGTGAGTGAGTGAGTGAGTGAGTGAGTGAGTGAGTGAGTGAGTGAGTGAGTGAGTGAGTGAGTGAGTGAGTGAGTGAGTGAGTGAGTGAGTGAGTGAGTGAGTGAGTGAGTGAGTGAGTGAGTGAGTGAGTGAGTGAGTGAGTGAGTGAGTGAGTGAGTGAGTGAGTGAGTGAGTGAGTGAGTGAGTGAGTGAGTGAGTGAGTGAGTGAGTGAGTGAGTGAGTGAGTGAGTGAGTGAGTGAGTGAGTGAGTGAGTGAGTGAGTGAGTGAGTGAGTGAGTGAGTGAGTGAGTGAGTGAGTGAGTGAGTGAGTGAGTGAGTGAGTGAGTGAGTGAGTGAGTGAGTGAGTGAGTGAGTGAGTGAGTGAGTGAGTGAGTGAGTGAGTGAGTGAGTGAGTGAGTGAGTGAGTGAGTGAGTGAGTGAGTGAGTGAGTGAGTGAGTGAGTGAGTGAGTGAGTGAGTGAGTGAGTGAGTGAGTGAGTGAGTGAGTGAGTGAGTGAGTGAGTGAGTGAGTGAGTGAGTGAGTGAGTGAGTGAGTGAGTGAGTGAGTGAGTGAGTGAGTGAGTGAGTGAGTGAGTGAGTGAGTGAGTGAGTGAGTGAGTGAGTGAGTGAGTGAGTGAGTGAGTGAGTGAGTGAGTGAGTGAGTGAGTGAGTGAGTGAGTGAGTGAGTGAGTGAGTGAGTGAGTGAGTGAGTGAGTGATGGAGTGAGCGAGCGAGCGAGTGAGCGAGCGAGCGAGTGAGTGAGAGAGCTATAGTTTTGTGTTTGGGTTTAGGATTTCCACGGCTTGCTGTTGGGTATGTAGTTCCGCGATTTCAATTGGGAGGGACAAGCCACCCGACCACGCCGCAAGCCAATCTGATGCTTCTGGGGCCAACAGGTTGTCCGACCACCCAGCAAGCCAATCCCACACCTACAAGGCAGCCTGACCACTCTCAAGGCACAAGCCAAGGCACAAACCAGTTTGACCACTCTTGCAAGGAAGTCTGATTGCCTGCAAAACAGGGCCCGAAAATGTCAGTCGTGTGGCTTTGGTTTTTGGAGCCTCCTTTGTGTGACGCGAGCGACCCTTTCAGTGTGGTGTTACGACTAGATGATGCTCCTCTGACCGCAATCGGGGAGGTTGTGAGTTCCCGAAATTTGTGTCATGTGAGCGTGTTCTGATGGTACCCTTTGGTCAATGTTCTTATGGCCCAAACAATGTCTTTTGTGGACTCCTAGTGAAGGGCTAGGAGTAAAGGAGTGCCAACTGAGATTCGCCATGCTTATACAGCTCTCGTGTGTTACTCACCTGACCAGCGGAGAGTTTTTATAGATTCCTTACGAATCCCTTCAAATCGATCGAGGCCTTGGTTGTTGTCACCACTGAAGGACCGCGCCGCCGCGTGAAAGTTGGTTCAGGAACACTGCCTGTGGCTTCCTTGCAATTTTCATGGTTTTGTTTTGCCATGTATGGTACTTTGCTACGTCCTTACCTGTCAATGTTGGTATGAGCAATTCTATTGGCTCTGTTTTTGCTTTTTGATGTCTTCACTGTCATTCGATTCGTCCGTATTTTGTTTTTGCTTTGATGACGCGAAGGTTTGGAGTAGTAATTGGAACGTGTGCTGTGTTTGGACGTTCTTCCCACCCAACAGGTCATGGTGGTTGAGTCACTTTCGCCTTGCTCTGCCCTGGCATGGCAACCACGGCAGCTGTTACAGAGCTGGCCCTGACACATGGGATGCGCTGTGTGTGACAGAGCCAAACTGTGTCCGACCACACTTCTTGTGGTTGTCTAGACCGCCAAAAGAGTTTGGGTTGTCGTATGGATGGTGACTAGAGGAACCTGACGAAAACCCCAAGGCAGCGTCGTCTGACACGAATGCAGGCCCTTGGTTAATTGCGGCCATTGCCAAGCGCATTTGCTTTATCTTTTGCATTCGTCAGGCAGCTTGGGGCTTGCAAGTTGCAAGCGTTGGCCTTTCATTGTCCAGGGAAATGAAGACGGCAATCCCATTCGAGCTGAAAGCCACGAATATTCTCCTATTTCAGACAGCGACGCGTTTTTTGTGTGGACGAATAGCAACTTTGATTTTTGTCATGGAAGGGCAGGGGGTATGTTGACGGCCGAGCCTCTCAACTCACACAACACAGTTTTTTGGTATTTATGTCAGCAGGCTGCACGGACCATTTTTCAATGCGCACATGATCTTGCTCGTTTTGTACGCTGGTCATATCAAACGCCGTTACATTGCTTGTGCAATCAAGTTCTGCTCCGGTCTCGGCTCAACCAGATTACGCTCGGTTTTGGAATCATTGTTACGGGACTCGAACTCGTCAGAAGGACAGCAGCACCGAGCAACAAACACACCAATGTGGGCGATCTCGCGGAGCAAGCAACTTATGTATTCATTGCGTTACATGTTATGCACGGTCCATGGACATGAATTGCAAACACAATTAAATCGATTAGCCGCTCCACGCCATGTTTGGCACAGGTTGGGCTGACGTGTTTTGGATCGCAGGGTCGACATTTCACGACACATTTGCTGATGAAGCCTGATCCATACATTGGTTGAAGTTCGACCGGCCTTGCTTACTTGCGAACTCGTGGTTTTGCGAGGTGCATGGTTTGACTTTGGAATTGCTGAGCCAATTGTTTGGCAGCAACTGTAATTATTTTGCAAAAAAATCGATCATTTTCTGTTTTATTTGTATTCGTGAACAAATGATGGAACCGGCGGAGCGGCGTCTTCCTGGTTCAGTACAGTCATCACATCCGACTCCCTCGCTTCTGCTTGTTATGTGAGATTCGATTCTATCCAAACCAGCACCTGCAATCTTACATGCTTAGCCAAGAATAATATTCAATTTCGTGTGTCAACGGATTGTGAAGGATTTGTGGTGCTTTTATGGCGAAGCGTGCAGGAGGCGGGCTCTTCGGAGCGCGGGAGGCCTAGCTTCTGGGTTTGGGACACCAACATGAAAGACCACAGCGCTCACATGGGGTCTCACGCGAAATGTCTTGCTCCGTCTTCAGATTGCATTTCCCTCGTGTTTCTGGAAGATTGCGCAAGCATCGTGCAAAGAACCGCTGCGCGTTTGCAGTTCATGGATTGATGCTCTAGAGTTTCTCTGGAAAAATGTGCAACATTGCATTTTGATAAAACACATTCGCTGCAGTTATGATCTCTTTGTTACAGGTGTGTTGAACCTTCAATGATGGAAATCACTTTTTCTGACCTTGGTGCAGACCACGAGGAAATTGGCATTGGTGTTTGATTCTCGCCCAGGGCAAGCCGCCTCCGTTTCCTTTCTCCGAGTCCTGGAACTTTGTTCAGCCAATTATTGGGATTTCCAATGCAGTTTGCGTGAACACTTCGACTCTTCCAAGATGCCAACGTTGTTTTTTGTGGAGACACTTCCTGGAAGCTTGGTGCTTGCAGGTGGAACATAGCTCCCAAAAATTGGACGGATGCGGATGGAGTAATGCCGGTGTTGGCTGAAAGCCTGCGCTGCACATGTGTTCGATGCAGGTGGCTTGCTGTCAACTGCATTTCATGCTCCAAAAGGATCCATCATGAGACTTGACCCGTGCACTCTTCCCCGAGGCCCTCCTCTGGTGCAGGCAGGGCAGCTTCAGATGTGGGAGGTGCTCGTCACCATTCTTTGAGCCATTTGCCAGGGTCGTAAAGAGGGTCATTGTACTTCTTCTGGGGTAGATTATGAACATTCGAAGCATGCTCCGATCTCAATTACCAACAGCTGGTGGGCATAAGTGACACGGCAAACACGGCCTGGCATTTGTCAGGGTCTGAAGGGCAGGACCAATTCTTCCAGCCCGAGTTTTGCACCTTCAGTCACCTCACTCTACCCTGGACAGGCAGACACATCAATCCATCAAGTGAATCTATCAACCGCCAGGCAGCATCTCACTTTTGTTTTGAGGAGGACAACATAGAGTGATGCGGCACGCAAACCCCATTTTTTGTTTCTTCCCTCAGCAGCCAGAACCACATGCAAGCCTCGGGGAGGGAGAAGCACTGCTGGTTGGAAGCCCTCGCGGGACCTCCAACTGCTTGTGAAGACTTGGGACATACTTGCTGGCGTGACATCTTGCCTTGGGGCACATGGGGTGCTCGCGCGCCAAGGCGCCAGCGGAGCAAGTCTGTTTGGAGGCGGAGGCTTGGGGTCGGGTCGACCTAAAGATTTGACCCAACGCAGATATTCAGCTTCCAGGGGCAGAGATCTAGCAGACCTCTCCGAATTTCTCTGCGTTTCCCATGTTTGACTCAGAGCTTCCCATCCACTATCAATTTTGCTTGGCGCTTTGCAGGATGCGTGTTTTTGCTCCCACTCAGCCCCCGATCTTGGCGTGTTCTGGTTCGAGCGAGGCGCGAGCAGCGCCGGCGGCCTCTTCGGAGGCTGGCTGGTGTTGGTCGGGGGTGAGGCCCAAGCCCGGTGCTCAGTGGCCGTTGGCTGTGGGTTTGTTCCCTTTCTTGTTTGGTTCCTTATGCAGCAGCTGCTTGAAAGCGCCACATTTGTCGTTCATTGCCTCTGAGGGACACTGAAACCAGGCAAGGCTGCAGGTTGCCTCAGCACCAGGGTTGCAGCCGTGCCATGGAAACTTGTCTCACGGCCACGTTTCGAGTGCAGGAGAACTGTCACCGCTGGATCAACATTTTCTGTCGGGCTACACACATACGGACAGTGGATCGTTTGGCTGGAAGGGCTCGGACCAGGATGTCCGAAAGAACAACGTTTTTCACCATGAGAAGCCGTTGAGCTGGTTTTGGTTTGGCTTCAGCCGGAAAGCTGCTGTTGGACAACTTACTTTCCCAAGCCATCTTGCCCATCTGCGTTGCACTGGTACTACCAGAAGATCATGGGCATGCTCTAAGCGTCATCAATAGTGGCCTTGTTTGTGCGCGTTGGGCCCACTTGTCTTTTGTGGGAACCATTGCTCTAAACACAAAAAAAGACGCTTGTCAATCTAGCCCTTTTTTGAGTGAACGTTTGCTCTGCAAAGTGTGGCCCTTTATTCGACGAACCCTGTCAGGACGCCCTCGTGTTTTGGGTCTATGGCTAACCTCCCACAATGCCCACTGACAAAGAACCACCAAGTCAGCTTCATCCACTCCGAAGATCCCACACAAACATCCAGGCAAAGCCTGTCCCACGGACTAGCCCCAACAACTCAGCCAATTCTGTCAGATGCCCACCGCATCTCTCGCAGGCAGCGGAGGCGGAGGCGGAGGCGCTTAGAGTGCAGCTTGATTTCTCGGATGTGCGGCCTGTGACAATCTCATTCCATCTGTTGTAGCTTTGGCAGAACAGGCCCTGTGCCCTTGGTATTGCAAGAAGGCACCAGGTCGGTGTTTCGTATGTCATCGAGGCTATGTTGACTGCATTTGCCTGAACTGGGCTGTTCACGGAGACTGCCATAAGGCATGCAGAAAGCTGGCGCAGTAAAGTTGATCATGTCTATGTCATGCGTGTGGGAGGGGAGACAAGTTTCTCTTGAGCCTGTCTGCCTTGGAGGCCTCTTCGGCGCAGGCGGGGGGGCCTAAAACTTTTACCAAAGTGAGAACCTTCAGCGGTTTTTTCCATACAGTTTTCCGGTTGTCTGGCAAGTCCTTAGACTTTCCTTACCGCGTTTTCCGAGGGCTTTGATAGGAGCATTGATTCACATACTCCTATCATAATTTTCTGATTGAATGTGGTTAGCGGCCGACGGGCAACAGAGCCTTCTCTTGGCGGCTTCCATGGCAGATGTGCATTTCCAGCTTAGTTCTCCACGCGCTTCAATTGGCCGGATTTGTGCACCCATCTTTTGGGGCGAACAACCCTCCGATCTTGTTTGCATACTTTATGGTGTTGAAGCTCTCATAAAATCAAACAACCTATGTGTGTGTGTGCGCGCTGTTAAGCCGGTTTTGAGTCGGCTAGATTTCAAAACCCATCCTTCCGCTTGCACCGCCCAGAACTTATGTACCTACCAACCTACCTACCTACCCATGCACCTCCTTATCTCCACGCCTCTGTACCTACATACATACGTATGTCACCTCTTCAGCACTTGCGACCAGACCACAAAGCTCGGTTTTGTCATCTGTGAGTTTGTGCCCTCACGTGAAACACATCTGAGACCGCCAAACACTTTGAAGAGTTTCAACTTTGGGGTATCTTACCACAGATCATGGTGCGTACCTTAGAAAAGGCGGTGGGTTCATGGCGGGGCATCCAGTTGGGCTGCCTTGGCCAACCTCGTGCGCTTCGACACAAAAGGTTGTTTGCCTTGGTTTCGCTTTGAACAGCTGAACAAGTGGTCCACGGGGCAAAACAAATTTAGGTGAAACTTTGCTGGCCACTGTACCAGGGGGTCAAACATCATGCGACAAGGTCTCATTTCTGATGCAGCCCGTTGCCTGGATGACGTCCGGAGCTCCCTATCTCAGGTTGGTAAGCTTTTTCATTCCCTCGAAGTGGAGACACTCAGGAGCAGCAACGCAGCAAGTATGTCGATTGTTTGAGCACCCTGTGCCAGTTCTGAGAAGCCTGCAAGATCACAAAGTACTGATAGAGCGGATTTGTATCCAAGGCACCTTTGTCGTGTTGGTAGATCGTAGTGGCTTGTGTTCGTGCTTGGATTTCTTGAGCCGTTGTGCAGAGCAATCCCATCTCTTTTGAACATCCCATCTCTTTTGAACATCTCTTGAGACACCCCATCTTTTTTGCTGTGCGCCGTATAGACTACTCGTTGTGGCTGTCTAAGAATCGAATCCATGTCTCTCAGGCAGCGCGGGCGCTGCGGGTGCCGGCGGCCTGTTTGGAGGCGCGGTAGCCCGCTGGTGTTTTCAGGAGACCATGCCGATGTATCAAACTTTTCCTGCCGGATAGCAACCTAGTTCGCCCTTGTCTGAATGATGTAAAACGGTATATCTATGCACATGTTGATCGCCTTGCATGAGCAAGCCTGTCACGAGAGAAAAGCTATCACCATCGAGCCAAGCAGGCATTGATTGCAAGAGCGGCATCCACGAGTGTAGCTGCACCTGTGCGTTAAATGTTGTCCAGCCCTGCCAAGACGTGTGTGACTTTGTAGCAAAAGAGGCGACAGTCTACAGCAATTGAAATCATGGGAAGATGCAAGTGGCATAATGTGTTTTTGCTTTCGTTGGCAAGGCATCTTGCACATTGGCGACAAAAAACAAAGCGAGGAACCATGAATCTTGAAATGCCCGTGTCTCCAACTGTGAGCAATTGCTGCCTGAGCAGACGGCGAACATGCCGCACCACCGAAGAAGTATCATATTCTGAACTGGACGAAACATCCCTCATAACCTGGTTCTTGTCAGCGGGTTGGCCTCCATGTCCTCCCCAAACAAAAAGTAGACTGCCAACACTAGTGCGACTGCGAGTGTGCCAGGATCTGGCAGCAGCAGCGGCGGCAGCCTTTTCGGAGGAGCCCAAATTGCCAGTCGGGAAGTTGGGAAGGTAGGGGGACGCGCACATTGTTCTGTCCGGCTTAGACCCTCAATGCCAACACCTGGATCGCGAGGGTGCAAGCTCTTTAAGATTTGGACATGTCCAGTTTGTTGGGTGCCCAGTCAGGGAGTGCAATGGGTCCCTTAGCCAGGGTCCCCGCCTGGGAAAAAGTAGCAGAGCATCGGGACCATTTGCTATCAAATTGGCATTCCATTCCCGTTCCTTATGTCGAGCCAGACTAACAATTCAGTCACCGCATACATTGAGAAAAACAAATTGTTTGATTGAGTTTCGAGTCTTAGCGGTTTCGCAGAGTCCGTGAAAATAGCGTGGTGCATCTGGTGCACGTCATGAGCATGCTGAGTGACCAACTGTTGTGATGTGGCCCGATGATGAACCTCTGACCGCGATGGGGGATGTCGGAAATCCGCGGCTTTTTGAACCAGTCATTGACTCGATGCTTAGGAAGCCGACTGGGGTGATATGGCCAGTGGCATGCATTGTAATTTGCGATCTTACACGTTGATGGTCATACAGATTTCATGTTTCATGCCTTCTGGCTCAGGACATCAACAAGATGAACCACAGATCAACAATATGGTGGAACCAATACCTTAAGCCGGGAGACGCTAAGACCCCCTAAACGACCAATTGTGGTTTGCCAATGGTTGAAACCACTCCCAGCGCAGCGCTGGGGGCTGGTAGGAGCTGCGCCAGCCTCATCCGGTGGCAGTCTTTTCGGCGCCAGCGGAGGAGTAGAGGGGGTGGCCAAGACGTTTCCTTTTTTTCACTTTGTTGCTCGTTATGTGAGGTTCTATGAGCAACGGACAGTTTTACGCACGCCGCACAAATTTTCTCCAGTGTTTTTGAGCGCGTGTTTCGTTCATGCTTCAGAGTTGACCAGCTTTTGCAGTTACATGTCCTGTTTGCCAGACAAGGATCATGTCGTTTCTTTTCAGGCTCTGTCTTGGAACATGTACAGGGAAAGCCATGGTACACTGGGCCCGCCCTTGGCCGGCGGTGGACACCAAATCAACCAAGTTGTCAGAAGTATGTGGCTGGGCCGGCAGAACTCCAAACTTCAAGACACAAAAACATTGAGGCTGCGGCAAGCAGGCTCGAAGATGTATCATAAACAACCATCATGACCGTGGAGGAATGGAGAAAGCCGCTCGTGTCTTCAGGGCCAGGCAACCCCTAAGGCCCAAGAAGGATGGGACACGGAACAGCATGGCGTGAATTGCACGTGGGATGCCTAGTAGTAGAGGTGATGATATTGGGTACACCAGGCAACCATTAGCAAATGAGGATTACTCATCAAAATCCAGCAAAAGCGATTTTTGACGGTGGTCCCTCTACATTGTTAGAATGTCGTTGAAGAAGCTAAATACTGGAGCCTTGTTGTGGCATGACTTGTGCGATCAATTCTGCATTGGCTCCAAGTAGAACAAAGTCCATGCACTGGCGCAGCACAAGGCACCCAGCATCTACTTCTGCATCTGAAGTGGCACGGTTGGCTTGCACCACGGGGCTTGTGATGCTTACAGATGCTGGCGCAAGCTGTGTGTTGATTCTCATATTTGCCCAGTTGCCAGGAAATCAGCGCGATTGGAATTCCGGAAGTAAACTAGACTTGGAAACTCAATGGTGCAGTTGGGTTCGCATCAAACAAGTGTGCAACAAGAAAGTGCCGAGCAAATGCTCTATTTGTCGTATTTTGCATGTGCGATGAAGTAGTGTAGGACTCACGCGATTCTCGAAGCGTTGGGATAGGGCGGGGTGTGCTTGAAACGGGCCTGCGCTTTGAAACTCCCGGCGCGTGTCGGTAGGCTCAGGGCACCTGGGGAGGGATTTGGCTGCCCTCACACCCTTTCGCCCAAACACGCACGGGACTATTTGCATACTTGCCTGTTGGGTCTTTCTTTTTGCCCCTCTGTTTACCCACTTTGGCGGCGTGTGCGTCTGCACCCCTGGGTAGCTGGCCGCCCCGCCTTCTTAGCGGGGCGTGCGTTTGCGCATGCGGGACCCACCGGCTTTGACGGGGCGTGAGTTTGCGGGCGGGGCCCCGCGGCGGGGCCCACCCCTTTTGGCGGCGCGTGAGGGCGGGAAAGAACTGACTGAATGGAGTTTGCGCGCGCCTGCCTTAAAACACGTGTGCGGAAGCAAGGGTTGGGCCACAGCATGCTGCAAGTCTCTGTTTCCCTCTTTTTTTTATATCTCTCTCTTTCTCTCTTTCTCGCTCTCGCTCTCGCTTGTGGTTGTGGTCGTGGTCGTGGTTGTTGTGGCGGTGGTTGTCTTTCAAAACTGGCCAAGCTGCCGCATTCTTTGCAACAGGAAGTGTTCAGCAAGGGTCCGAAGGTAGGGTGTTGCTGTGGTGGTGGTGGTGGTGGTGGTGGTGGTGGTGGTGGTGGTGGTGGTGGTGGTGGTGGTCTTCGTGGTGGTGGTGGTCTTCGTGGTGGTGGTGGTGGTGGCGGCGGCTTTTGTGATTTGATCGTCGAGCTTTGAGGAGACATTTGGCAGAACCAAGACAAGCAGGGAGATGCTAAGACCCCCTAAACGACCAATCAGTGTGGTTTCCCGGTTGAAACCGCTCCCAGCACAGCACTGGGAACTGTTAGGAGCGCCAGCCTCATCCGGTGGCAGTCTTTTCGGCGCCAGTGGAGGAGTAGGGGGGTTGCCAAGACATCCCCTCATCAGGTATCTCAGGTTCTTTGAGCAACGGATAGCATGTACAGGGCATTTCAATGGTTCATGGTTCCTCGCTTTGGTTCTTCTCGCCAGTGGCATATTGCAAGTTGCCTTGGCAACGAAAGCAAAAACACTTTGTTCGACTTGCATCTTCCACATGATTTCAGTTGCTTTAGACAACTGTCGTCTCTTTTGCTACGACTTCACACACCTTGGCAGGGTTGGACAACATTTAACGCACAGGTGCAGCTAGACTGGTGGATGCCGCTCTTGCAATCAACGCTTGGCTCGATGGTGATAGCTTTTCTCTCGTGACAGGCTTGCTCATGCAAGGTGATCAACATGTGCATAGATAAGCTGCCAGGATCTGGCAGCAGCAGCGGCGGCAGCCTTTTCGGAGGAGGTCAAATTGCCAGTGGGGAAGTTGGGAAGGTACGGGGAGGCGCACATTCACCTTTGAGATTTGGACATGTCCAGTTTTTTAGGTGCCCAGTCATGCAATGGGTCCCTTAGCCAGGGTCCCCGCCTGGGAAAAGGTAGCAGAGCATCGGGACCATTTGCTATCAAATCGGCATTCCATTCCCATTCCTTATGTCGAGCCAGACTAACAATTCAGTCACAGCATACATCTGAGAAAGACAATTTGATTGAAACGAGTCTTTGTGCGTGACTCGATGAGCCGACTGGGGTGACATGGCCAGTGGCATGCATTGTAATTTTTGATCTTACACGTCGATTGTCATACAGATTTCATGTTTGATGCCTTCCAACTCAGGACATCAACAAGATGAACCACAGATCAACAATTTGGTGGAACCAATACCTTAAGCTGGGAGATGCTAAGACCCCCTAAACGACTTGTGGTTTGCCAATGGTTAAAACCACTCCCAGCACAGTGCTGGGGGCTGGTAGGAGCTGCGCCAGCCTCATCCGGTGGCAGTCTTTTCGGCGCCAGCGGAGGAGTAGAGGGGGGTGGCCAAGACAATTGCGTCATCAGGTCCTTTTTTGGTTTCGTGTATCTTGTCGCTCGTATCTTAGGTCCTCTGAGGAACGGACAGTGTTCGCCATCATTAATAGTAGAGCTGATGACATTGAGTACTGCATGCACTTACCAGACAACCATCAGCAAGCAGCAAGCTACAGTAGTTCTGTGCCCTTGTTTGGCAGCATGCTCGTAACAGTCACTCGCAATCACACTAGTGTTGGCAGTCTACTTTTCGTTTGGGTAGGACATGGAGTTCCAACCCGCATTCCTCACAAGCAGGTTGTGAGGGATGCTTTTTCCAGTTCAGAATATGATACTTGTTTGGTGGTGCGGCGTGTCCATCCCACACCTCGCAAAGGCAGCAGTTGCTCCCAGTTGGAGCCAAGGACAGTTCAATGGTTCATAGGTCGCCAATGGCATATTGCGAGTTGCCTTGGCAGCGAAAGCAAGGACACATTGTTCCACTTGCATCTTCCCCATGATTTCAGTTGCTTTAGACAGCTGTCGTCTCTTTTGCTACGACTTCACACACCTTGGCAGGGTTGGACAACATTTAACGCACAGGTGCAGCTAGACTGGTGGATGCCGCTCTTGCAATCAACGCTTGGCTCGATGGTGATAGCTTTTCTCTCGTGACAGGCTTGCTCATGCAAGGTGATCAACATGTGCATAGATAAGCTGCCAGGATCTGGCAGCAGCAGCGGCGGCAGCCTTTTCGGAGGAGGTCAAGTTGCCAGTGGGGAAGTTGGCAAGGTACGGGGAGGCGCACATTCACCTTTGAGATTTGGACATGTCCAGTTTTTTAGGTGCCCAGTCATGCAATGGGTCCCTTGGTCAGGGTCCCCGCCTGGGAAAAGGTAGCAGAGCATCGGGACCATTTGCTATCAAATCGGCATTCCATTCCCATTCCTTATGTCGAGCCAGACTAACAATTCAGTCACAGCATACATCTGAGAAAGACAATTTGATTGAAACGAGTCTTTGACGCGATGAGCCGACTGGGGTGACATGGCCAGTGGCATGCATTGTATTTTTTGATCTTACACGTCGATTGTCATACAGATTTCATGTTTGATGCCTTCCAACTCAGGACATCAACAAGATGAACCACAGATCAACAATTTGGTGGAACCAATACCTTAAGCAGGGAGATGCTACCCCCTAACCGACCAATCATTGTGGTTTGCCAATGGTTGAAACCACTCCCAGATGAGCGCTGGGGCTGGCAGGAGCTGCGCCAGCCTCATCCGGTGGCAGTCTTTTCGGCGCCAGCGGAGGAGAAGGGGGGGTGGCCAAGACATTTCCGAGTTTTGTGCATCTTGTTGCTCGTTATCTGAGGTTTTAGCCATGAAAGGAGGATAAGCCTCTGATAACGTAGCGGCAGAATGTGCTTGAAACAGGGCCATGGCAAATGCAGCTCTCTGCTTTTCAAGTGCAGTTTCCCGCGAGCGGTGTCACGGCCCGGCGCGTGTCGGGGAGGGATTTGCCTGCCCTCACACCCTTTCGCCCAGACGGGCGGACCAACCCGTGACGATTTGCGTGCTTGCCTGTTGTGCTTTCTCCTTGCCGCTTCTCTTTGGCGTGTGCGTTTGCACGCGCTGGCTCCCCTGGGTTGGTGTGCTGGGCCTTTGCATACGCAGGCCCCGGCGTCTTTGTGTGCTGCCTTCTTTTTGCAGAGTGTGCGTGGCCGCACTCTCTCCCCCCCTCTCTCTCTCTCTCTCTCTCTCTTTCTCTCTCTCTCTCGCACTCTCTCGTTCTCTCCCTCTCTCTCTCTCTCTCTACTGTTCCTTTGCGTTTGCTTTCATTTGAGTGGATCAACATGATGTTGACTGGTTCACTGTCATGATTCACCAGCTTGGTTCAATAGACGCCTGAATTGGAGGTCATTTGTGCACGTCGGCACTGCTCCATCGCCAGTCTAAGATGGATATCAGCCACGTCGGGCTCCCTTTTCATCTACAAGTGGTCGATGGGTCATGATTTTGATCTCCAACCTCTCGGCTTCGAGGAGGTTCCGGGGGCTCCATCTTCGGAGGTGGGCATGTGGCGCATGTGGGGGGCCATGGGGCACGGGGCACAGGAGCCGGTACCTCGAAAGGCAATGGCTATGGCGGGCGAAAGATGCCCGGGACACGTGTGTTTTCTTGGGCCAGGGACAAGCGTTCACTTGTTTTGTGGAGATCAGGCTCTCTGTTTTGGGGGGGAGTCCGAGGTTTGGCATGGTAATGGGGCTGGTTGCCCTTGCGTCGAGGATGTCTTTCGGGCACTGGTTCGTGAATCAGAATCGGCTTGTTTTCTAGTGTTTCGTTCCTTTGCTTTGCCTTGAATGTTCCTCAAGGCCTTGTATCATTTATTCCTGGACCATGGTATGTGCTTCTTCTCCTGAATGTAAAGCAAGTGTGCTTCTGAAGGTTTGATTGGATTTGAAGCTTGACGAAAGAGATCCACGTTTGGGGCTGGCGCAGATACGAGAGTCTAGTGAGAGCAGGGTGGCATTGCACATGGATTCCTAGTGTAAATTTTCAGGCGCTCAGAAGGTGAGGGCACCATATCTACTGGACGAGCAAGTTGGGCCTTGAAATCCAATTCATCGGATTTCGAACGCATGGTCCTTAGATTGGCTTTCTTGCTTCCACAACTGGCTGTGGGTCAAGAATGGGTACCCAAAATGGCTTGCCCTGGCAAATAGACACATGGAAACCTGTGGTCCCCTGGGTTTAGTTTTGACCCACCGCCTGAGAGAAGCGAGAGAGCACCAGACAGGTGCCAGCTCTGGGGGACTCTTTGGAGGCCCGGGCCAGTGAAAGCCAGGTTGAAAGCCCCCGGGCCGTTCCGGGCAACGGTCCACGTAGACGTTTCTTTTCTTTTTTTCTTCTCCCCCCTTTTTTCCCCCCCTTCTTTTTTCCTTGTTCGTTTCCTCCTCTCTTTTTTTTTCTTTTCTCGCAGAACGTTTGTTTTTGTTGCGGGGTTCATAGAGACCACCTGGGAGATCTCTTCGATTTCTGAGGGAGATGTTCCAACCTTTTTTTTTCCCTCCCAAAACAAAAACAGCCATGCAGTTTTAGAAGGGTCTTGTAGCGGGTTCTGAGAGTTTCCAATTGTGGGCAAAAATCGCGAAGTGGACAATGTCATCGTTCTGACCACCTATGGTTACACTTCAACTTACATTTAGCCTGTGGACGAAGCCTACAAGTTTCTTATCATATGTTTTCGGGCTCGGCGCACTTCATAGATCAGAGGCGGACAGTACAGCTAAATTTGTAGACGTATTCGATTCTATCCAAACCAGCACCTGCAATCTTACATGCTTAGCCAAGAATAATATTCAATTTCGTGTGTCAACGAATTGTGAAGGATTTGTGGTGCTTTTATGGCGAAGCGTGCAGGAGGCGGGCTCTTCGGAGCGCGGGAGGCCTAGCTTCTGGGTTTGGGACACCAACATGAAAGACCACAGCGCTCACATGGGGTCTCACGCGAAATGTCTTGCTCCGTCTTCAGATTGCATTTCCCTCGTGTTTCTGGAAGATTGCGCAAGCATCGTGCAAAGAACCGCTGCGCGTTTGCAGTTCATGGATTGATGCTCTAGAGTTTCTCTGGAAAAATGTGCAACATTGCATTTTGATAAAACACATTCGCTGCAGTTATGATCTCTTTGTTACAGGTGTGTTGAACCTTCAATGATGGAAATCACTTTTTCTGACCTTGGTGCAGACCACGAGGAAATTGGCATTGGTGTTTGATTCTCGCCCAGGGCAAGCCGCCTCCGTTTCCTTTCTCCGAGTCCTGGAACTTTGTTCAGCCAATTATTGGGATTTCCAATGCAGTTTGCGTGAACACTTCGACTCTTCCAAGATGCCAACGTTGTTTTTTGTGGAGACACTTCCTGGAAGCTTGGTGCTTGCAGGTGGAACATAGCTCCCAAAAATTGGACGGATGCGGATGGAGTAATGCCGGTGTTGGCTGAAAGCCTGCGCTGCACATGTGTTCGATGCAGGTGGCTTGCTGTCAACTGCATTTCATGCTCCAAAAGGATCCATCATGAGACTTGACCCGTGCACTCTTCCCCGAGGCCCTCCTCTGGTGCAGGCAGGGCAGCTTCAGATGTGGGAGGTGCTCGTCACCATTCTTTGAGCCATTTGCCAGGGTCGTAAAGAGGGTCATTGTACTTCTTCTGGGGTAGATTATGAACATTCGAAGCATGCTCCGATCTCAATTACCAACAGCTGGTGGGCATAAGTGACACGGCAAACACGGCCTGGCATTCGTCAGGGTCTGAAGGGCAGGACCAATTCTTCCAGCCCGAGTTTTGCACCTTCAGTCACCTCACTCTACCCTGGACAGGCAGACACATCAATCCATCAAGTGAATCTATCAACCGCCAGGCAGCATCTCACTTTTGTTTTGAGGAGGACAACATAGAGTGATGCGGCACGCAAACCCCATTTTTTGTTTCTTCCCTCAGCAGCCAGAACCACATGCAAGCCTCGGGGAGGGAGAAGCACTGCTGGTTGGAAGCCCTCGCGGGACCTCCAACTGCTTGTGAAGACTTGGGACATACTTGCTGGCGTGACATCTTGCCTTGGGGCACATGGGGTGCTCGCGCGCCAAGGCGCCAGCGGAGCAAGTCTGTTTGGAGGCGGAGGCTTGGGGTCGGGTCGACCTAAAGATTTGACCCAACGCAGATATTCAGCTTCCAGGGGCAGAGATCTAGCAGACCTCTCCGAATTTCTCTGCGTTTCCCATGTTTGACTCAGAGCTTCCCATCCACTATCAATTTTGCTTGGCGCTTTGCAGGATGCGTGTTTTTGCTCCCACTCAGCCCCCGATCTTGGCGTGTTCTGGTTCGAGCGAGGCGCGAGCAGCGCCGGCGGCCTCTTCGGAGGCTGGCTGGTGTTGGTCGGGGGTGAGGCCCAAGCCCGGTGCTCAGTGGCCGTTGGCTGTGGGTTTGTTCCCTTTCTTGTTTGGTTCCTTTTGCAGCAGCTGCTTGAAAGCGCCACATTTGTCGTTCATTGCCTCTGAGGGACACTGAAACCAGGCAAGGCTGCAGGTTGCCTCAGCACCAGGGTTGCAGCCGTGCCATGGAAACTTGTCTCACGGCCACGTTTCGAGTGCAGGAGAACTGTCACCGCTGGATCAACATTTTCTGTCGGGCTACACACATACGGACAGTGGATCGTTTGGCTGGAAGGGCTCGGACCAGGATGTCCGAAAGAACAACGTTTTTCACCATGAGAAGCCGTTGAGCTGGTTTTGGTTTGGCTTCAGCCGGAAAGCTGCTGTTGGACAACTTACTTTCCCAAGCCATCTTGCCCATCTGCGTTGCACTGGTACTACCAGAAGATCATGGGCATGCTCTAAGCGTCATCAATAGTGGCCTTGTTTGTGCGCGTTGGGCCCACTTGTCTTTTGTGGGAACCATTGCTCTAAACACAAAAAAAGACGCTTGTCAATCTAGCCCTTTTTTGAGTGAACGTTTGCTCTGCAAAGTGTGGCCCTTTATTCGACGAACCCTGTCAGGACGCCCTCGTGTTTTGGGTCTATGGCTAACCTCCCACAATGCCCACTGACAAAGAACCACCAAGTCAGCTTCATCCACTCCGAAGATCCCACACAAACATCCAGGCAAAGCCTGTCCCACGGACTAGCCCCAACAACTCAGCCAATTCTGTCAGATGCCCACCGCATCTCTCGCAGGCAGCGGAGGCGGAGGCGGAGGCGCTTAGAGTGCAGCTTGATTTCTCGGATGTGCGGCCTGTGACAATCTCATTCCATCTGTTGTAGCTTTGGCAGAACAGGCCCTGTGCCCTTGGTATTGCAAGAAGGCACCAGGTCGGTGTTTCGTATGTCATCGAGGCTATGTTGACTGCATTTGCCTGAACTGGGCTGTTCACGGAGACTGCCATAAGGCATGCAGAAAGCTGGCGCAGTAAAGTTGATCATGTCTATGTCATGCGTGTGGGAGGGGAGACAAGTTTCTCTTGAGCCTGTCTGCCTTGGAGGCCTCTTCGGCGCAGGCGGGGGGGCCTAAAACTTTTACCAAAGTGAGAACCTTCAGCGGTTTTTTCCATACAGTTTTCCGGTTGTCTGGCAAGTCCTTAGACTTTCCTTACCGCGTTTTCCGAGGGCTTTGATAGGAGCATTGATTCACATACTCCTATCATAATTTTCTGATTGAATGTGGTTAGCGGCCGACGGGCAACAGAGCCTTCTCTTGGCGGCTTCCATGGCAGATGTGCATTTCCAGCTTAGTTCTCCACGCGCTTCAATTGGCCGGATTTGTGCACCCATCTTTTGGGGCGAACAACCCTCCGATCTTGTTTGCATACTTTATGGTGTTGAAGCTCTCATAAAATCAAACAACCTATGTGTGTGTGTGCGCGCTGTTAAGCCGGTTTTGAGTCGGCTAGATTTCAAAACCCATCCTTCCGCTTGCACCGCCCAGAACTTATGTACCTACCAACCTACCTACCTACCCATGCACCTCCTTATCTCCACGCCTCTGTACCTACATACATACGTATGTCACCTCTTCAGCACTTGCGACCAGACCACAAAGCTCGGTTTTGTCATCTGTGAGTTTGTGCCCTCACGTGAAACACATCTGAGACCGCCAAACACTTTGAAGAGTTTCAACTTTGGGGTATCTTACCACAGATCATGGTGCGTACCTTAGAAAAGGCGGTGGGTTCATGGCGGGGCATCCAGTTGGGCTGCCTTGGCCAACCTCGTGCGCTTCGACACAAAAGGTTGTTTGCCTTGGTTTCGCTTTGAACAGCTGAACAAGTGGTCCACGGGGCAAAACAAATTTAGGTGAAACTTTGCTGGCCACTGTACCAGGGGGTCAAACATCATGCGACAAGGTCTCATTTCTGATGCAGCCCGTTGCCTGGATGACGTCCGGAGCTCCCTATCTCAGGTTGGTAAGCTTTTTCATTCCCTCGAAGTGGAGACACTCAGGAGCAGCAACGCAGCAAGTATGTCGATTGTTTGAGCACCCTGTGCCAGTTCTGAGAAGCCTGCAAGATCACAAAGTACTGATAGAGCGGATTTGTATCCAAGGCACCTTTGTCGTGTTGGTAGATCGTAGTGGCTTGTGTTCGTGCTTGGATTTCTTGAGCCGTTGTGCAGAGCAATCCCATCTCTTTTGAACATCCCATCTCTTTTGAACATCTCTTGAGACACCCCATCTTTTTTGCTGTGCGCCGTATAGACTACTCGTTGTGGCTGTCTAAGAAACGAATCCATGTCTCTCAGGCAGCGCGGGCGCTGCGGGTGCCGGCGGCCTGTTTGGAGGCGCGGTAGCCCGCTGGTGTTTTCAGGAGACCATGCCGATGTATCAAACTTTTCCTGCCGGATAGCAACCTAGTTCGCCCTTGTCTGAATGATGTAAAACGGTATATCTATGCACATGTTGATCGCCTTGCATGAGCAAGCCTGTCACGAGAGAAAAGCTATCACCATCGAGCCAAGCAGGCATTGATTGCAAGAGCGGCATCCACGAGTGTAGCTGCACCTGTGCGTTAAATGTTGTCCAGCCCTGCCAAGACGTGTGTGACTTTGTAGCAAAAGAGGCGACAGTCTACAGCAATTGAAATCATGGGAAGATGCAAGTGGCATAATGTGTTTTTGCTTTCGTTGGCAAGGCATCTTGCACATTGGCGACAAAAAACAAAGCGAGGAACCATGAATCTTGAAATGCCCGTGTCTCCAACTGTGAGCAATTGCTGCCTGAGCAGACGGCGAACATGCCGCACCACCGAAGAAGTATCATATTCTGAACTGGACGAAACATCCCTCATAACCTGGTTCTTGTCAACTGGTATGGCCTCCATGTCCCACCCCAAACAAAAAGTAGACAGCCAACACTAGAGCGACTGCGATTTTGCCAGGATCGGCAAGCATCAGCGCGGCAAGCCTTTTCTCGGAGAGCCCAAATTGCCAGTTCGTTTAAGTTTTGGGAAGGTAGGGGGACGCGCACATTGTTCTGTCGGCTTAGACCCTCAATGCCAACACCTGGATCGCGTAGGGTGCAAGCACTTTAAGATTTTGGATCATGTCCCCGTTTGTTGGGGGTGCCCAGTCAGGGAGTGCAATGGGTCCCTTAGCCCAGGGTCCCTGCCTGGGGAAAAAGTAGCAAGCATCGGGACCATTTGCTATCAAAATTGTCATTCCATTCCCTTCCATAAGTCCGAGCCAACAAACAATTCAGTCACCGACCGCATACATTGAGAAAAACAAAATGTTTTATTGAGTTTCGAGACTTAGCGGTTTCCGCAGATTTCCGTAAAATAGCGTGGTGCATCTGGTGTCACTACATACATGCTAGTGACCAACTGTTGTTATGTGGCCCGATGAAGAAACCATCTGACAACGCGAATGGGGGATGTCGGAAAATCCGCGGCTTTTTGAACCAGTCATTGACTCGATGCTTTTAGGAAGCCGACAGGGGTGATATGGGCCATGGATGCATTGTAATTTTGCTATTCTTACACGTTGATGGTCATACAGATTTCATGTTTCATGCCTTCTGGCTCAGGACATCAACAAGATGAACCACGATCAACAATATGGTTGAACCATTACCTTAAGAGGTCCGGGAGACGCCTAAGACCCCCATAAAAACGACCTATTTGTGTTGCCAATGGTTAAACCACCCCAGCTGCAGCGCTGGGGCTTGGTAGGAGCTGCGCCAGCCTCATCCGGTGGCAGTCTTTTCGGCGCCAGCGGAGGAGTAGAGGGGGTGGCCAAGACGTTTCCTTTTTTTCACTTTGTTGCTCGTTATGTGAGGTTCTATGAGCAACGGACAGTTTTACGCACGCCGCACAAATTTTCTCCAGTGTTTTTGAGCGCGTGTTTCGTTCATGCTTCAGAGTTGACCAGCTTTTGCAGTTACATGTCCTGTTTGCCAGACAAGGATCATGTCGTTTCTTTTCAGGCTCTGTCTTGGAACATGTACAGGGAAAGCCATGGTACACTGGGCCCGCCCTTGGCCGGCGGTGGACACCAAATCAACCAAGTTGTCAGAAGTATGTGGCTGGGCCGGCAGAACTCCAAACTTCAAGACACAAAAACATTGAGGCTGCGGCAAGCAGGCTCGAAGATGTATCATAAACAACCATCATGACCGTGGAGGAATGGAGAAAGCCGCTCGTGTCTTCAGGGCCAGGCAACCCCTAAGGCCCAAGAAGGATGGGACACGGAACAGCATGGCGTGAATTGCACGTGGGATGCCTAGTAGTAGAGGTGATGATATTGGGTACACCAGGCAACCATTAGCAAATGAGGATTACTCATCAAAATCCAGCAAAAGCGATTTTTGACGGTGGTCCCTCTACAGTGTTAGAATGTCGTTGAAGAAGCTAAATACTGGATCCTTGTTGTGGCATGACATGTGCGTCAATTCTGCATTGGCTCCAATAGAACAAAGTTCCAGCACTGGCGCAGCACAAGGCACACCAGCATCTACATCTGCATATGAAGTGGCAACGGTATTGGCTTTGCACCACCGGGGCATGTGATGCTGACAGATCTGGCTCAAGCTGTGTGTTGATTCTCATATTTGCCCAGTTGCCAGGGAAATCAGCGCATTGGAATTCCTTAAGTAAACTAGACTTGGAAACTCAATGGTGCAGTTGGGTTCGCATCAAACAAGTGTGCAACAAGAAAGTGCCGAGCAAATGCTCTATTTGTCGTAATTTGCAAGTGCGATGAAGTAGTGTAGGAACCTCTCGCGATTTCTCGAAAGAGCGTTGGGATAGGGCGGGGTGTGCTTGAAAACGGCCTGCGCTTTTAACTCCCGGCGCGTGTCGGTAGGCTCAGGGCACCTGGGGAGGGATTTGGCTGCGCCCTCACACCCTTTCGCCAAACTACAGAACCGGGACTTTATGCATACTTCTCTTGTTGGTCTTTTCTTTTTGTTGCCCTCTCTCTAACCCACTGGCGGCGTGTGCGTCTGCACCCCTGGGTAGCTGGCCGCCCCGCCTTTCTTCTAGCGGGGGCGTGCGTTTGCCATGCGGTATCCCACCGGCTTTGACGGGCGTGGGTTGCGGCGGGTGCCCCGCGCGGGGCCCACCCCTTTTGGCGGCGCGTGAGGGCGGGAAAGAACTGACTGAATAATGGAGTTTTGCGCGCAGCAATCTGCCCTTAAAACACTGTGGCTGTGAGCAAGGGTTGGCCACATCATGCTGCAAGTCTCCTTTTATTTCTTTTTTTATATCACTCTCTTTCCTCTCTTTCCTCGCTCTCGCTCTCGCATGTGGTTGTGGACGTGGTCGTCGGTTGTTGTGGCGGTGGTGTCTTTTCAAACTGGCCAAGCTGCGCATTCTTTGCAACAGAAGTGTTTAGAAAGGGTCCGAAGGTAGGTGGTAGCTGGGAGGTGGTGGTGGGTTGGTGGTGGGTGGTTGGGGTGGTGGGTGGTGGTGGATGGGTGTAGTCTTTTCGTGTGGTGGTGGTCTTCGTGAGGTGTGTGGTGGCGGCGGCTTTGTGATTTGATCGTCAGAGCTTTGAGGAGACATTTGGAAGTTCCAAGACAAGCAGGAGAATGATCAGCAGACCTAAAACGACCAATCGTGTGGTTTTCCCGTTTGAAACCGCTCCCAGCACAGCACTGGGAACTGTTAGGAGCGCCAGCCTCATCCGGTATGGCAGTCTTTTTCGGCGCCAGTGATGAGTAGGGGGTTGCCAAAGGACATCCCCTCTTCAGGTATCTCAGGTTCTTTGAGCAACGGATAGCATGTACAGGGCATTTCAATGGTTCATGGTTCCTCGCTTTGGTTCTTCTCGCCAGTGGCATATTGCAAGTTGCCTTGGCAACGAAAGCAAAAACACTTTGTTCGACTTGCATCTTCCACATGATTTCAGTTGCTTTAGACAACTGTCGTCTCTTTTGCTACGACTTCACACACCTTGGCAGGGTTGGACAACATTTAACGCACAGGTGCAGCTAGACTGGTGGATGCCGCTCTTGCAATCAACGCTTGGCTCGATGGTGATAGCTTTTCTCTCATGACAGGCTTGCTCATGCAAGGTGATCAACATGTGCATAGATAAGCTGCCAGGATCTGGCAGCAGCAGCGGCGGCAGCCTTTTCGGAGGAGGTCAAATTGCCAGTGGGGAAGTTGGGAAGGTACGGGGAGGCGCACATTCACCTTTGAGATTTGGACATGTCCAGTTTTTTAGGTGCCCAGTCATGCAATGGGTCCCTTAGCCAGGGTCCCCGCCTGGGAAAAGGTAGCAGAGCATCGGGACCATTTGCTATCAAATCGGCATTCCATTCCCATTCCTTATGTCGAGCCAGACTAACAATTCAGTCACAGCATACATCTGAGAAAGACAATTTGATTGAAACGAGTCTTTGTGCGTGACTCGATGAGCCGACTGGGGTGACATGGCCAGTGGCATGCATTGTAATTTTTGATCTTACACGTCGATTGTCATACAGATTTCATGTTTGATGCCTTCCAACTCAGGACATCAACAAGATGAACCACAGATCAACAATTTGGTGGAACCAATACCTTAAGCTGGGAGATGCTAAGACCCCCTAAACGACTTGTGGTTTGCCAATGGTTAAAACCACTCCCAGCACAGTGCTGGGGGCTGGTAGGAGCTGCGCCAGCCTCATCCGGTGGCAGTCTTTTCGGCGCCAGCGGAGGAGTAGAGGGGGGTGGCCAAGACAATTGCGTCATCAGGTCCTTTTTTGGTTTCCCCCCCCCCCCGTGGGTATCTCCGCTGCGCCTTCGTATCTTAGGTCCTCTGAGGAACGGACAGTGTTCGCCATCATTAATAGTAGAGCTGATGACATTGAGTACTGCATGCACTTACCAGACAACCATCAGCAAGCAGCAAGCTACAGTAATTCTGTGCCCTTGTTTGGCAGCATGCACGTAACAGTCACTCGCAATCACACTAGTGTTGGCAGTCTACTTTTCGTTTGGGTAGGACATGGAGTTCCAACCCGCATTCCTCACAAGCAGGTTTGAGGGATGCTTTTTCCAGTTCAGAAAATGATACTTGTTTGGTGGTGCGGCGTGTCCATCCCACACCTCGCAAAGGCAGCAGTTGCTCCCAGTTGACCAAGGACAGTTCAATGGTTCATAGGTCGCCAATGGCATATTGCGAGTTGCCTTGGCCGAAAGCAAGGACACATTGTTCCACTTGCATCTTCCCCATGATTTCAGTTGCTTTAGACAGCTGTCGTCTCTTTTGCTACGACTTCACACACCTTGGCAGGGTTGGACAACATTTAACGCACAGGTGCAGCTAGACTGGTGGATGCCGCTCTTGCAATCAACGCTTGGCTCGATGGTGATAGCTTTTCTCTCGTGACAGGCTTGCTCATGCAAGGTGATCAACATGTGCATAGATAAGCTGCCAGGATCTGGCAGCAGCAGCGGCGGCAGCCTTTTCGGAGGAGGTCAAGTTGCCAGTGGGGAAGTTGGCAAGGTACGGGGAGGCGCACATTCACCTTTGAGATTTGGACATGTCCAGTTTTTTAGGTGCCCAGTCATGCAATGGGTCCCTTGGTCAGGGTCCCCGCCTGGGAAAAGGTAGCAGAGCATCGGGACCATTTGCTATCAAATCGGCATTCCATTCCCATTCCTTATGTCGAGCCAGACTAACAATTCAGTCACAGCATACATCTGAGAAAGACAATTTGATTGAAACGAGTCTTTGACGCGATGAGCCGACTGGGGTGACATGGCCAGTGGCATGCATTGTATTTTTTGATCTTACACGTCGATTGTCATACAGATTTCATGTTTGATGCCTTCCAACTCAGGACATCAACAAGATGAACCACAGATCAACAATTTGGTGGAACCAATACCTTAAGCAGGGAGATGCTACCCCCTAACCGACCAATCATTGTGGTTTGCCAATGGTTGAAACCACTCCCAGATGAGCGCTGGGGCTGGCAGGAGCTGCGCCAGCCTCATCCGGTGGCAGTCTTTTCGGCGCCAGCGGAGGAGAAGGGGGGGTGGCCAAGACATTTCCGAGTTTTGTGCATCTTGTTGCTCGTTATCTGAGGTTTTAGCCATGAAAGGAGGATAAGCATCTGATAACGTAGCGGCAGAATGTGCTTGAAACAGGGCCATGGCAAATGCAGCTCTCTGCTTTTCAAGTGCAGTTTCCCGCGAGCTGTGTCACGGCCCGGCGCGTGTCGGGGAGGGATTTGCCTGCCCTCACACCCTTTCGCCCAGACGGGCGGACCAACCCGTGACGATTTGCGTGCTTGCTTGTTGTGCTTTCTCCTTGCCGCTTCTCTTTGGCGTGTGCGTTTGCACGCGCTGGCTCCCCTGGGTTGGTGTGCTGGGCCTTTGCATACGCAGGCCCCGGCGTCTTTGTGTGCTGCCTTCTTTTTGCAGAGTGTGCGTGGCCGCACTCTCTCCCCCTCCCCCCCTCTCTCTCTCTCTCTCTCTCTCTCTCTCTCTCTCTCTCTTTCTCTCTCTCTCTCGCACTCTCTCGTTCTCTCCCTCTCTCTCTCTCTCTACTGTTCCTTTGCGTTTGCTTTCATTTGAGTGGATCAACATGATGTTGACTGGTTCACTGTCATGATTCACCAGCTTGGTTCAATAGACGCCTGAATTGGAGGTCATTTGTGCACGTCGGCACTGCTCCATCGCCAGTCTAAGATGGATATCAGCCACGTCGGGCTCCCTTTTCATCTACAAGTGGTCGATGGGTCATGATTTTGATCTCCAACCTCTCGGCTTCGAGGAGGTTCCGGGGGCTCCATCTTCGGAGGTGGGCATGTGGCGCATGTGGGGGGCCATGGGGCACGGGGCACAGGAGCCGGTACCTCGAAAGGCAATGGCTATGGCGGGCGAAAGATGCCCGGGACACGTGTGTTTTCTTGGGCCAGGGACAAGCGTTCACTTGTTTTGTGGAGATCAGGCTCTCTGTTTTGGGGGGGAGTCCGAGGTTTGGCATGGTAATGGGGCTGGTTGCCCTTGCGTCGAGGATGTCTTTCGGGCACTGGTTCGTGAATCAGAATCGGCTTGTTTTCTAGTGTTTCGTTCCTTTGCTTTGCCTTGAATGTTCCTCAAGGCCTTGTATCATTTATTCCTGGACCATGGTATGTGCTTCTTCTCCTGAATGTAAAGCAAGTGTGCTTCTGAAGGTTTGATTGGATTTGAAGCTTGACGAAAGAGATCCACGTTTGGGGCTGGCGCAGATACGAGAGTCTAGTGAGAGCAGGGTGGCATTGCACATGGATTCCTAGTGTAAATTTTCAGGCGCTCAGAAGGTGAGGGCACCATATCTACTGGACGAGCAAGTTGGGCCTTGAAATCCAATTCATCGGATTTCGAACGCATGGTCCTTAGATTGGCTTTCTTGCTCCACAACTGGCTGTGGGTCAAGAATGGGTACCCAAAATGGCTTGCCCTGGCAAATAGACACATGGAAACCTGTGGTCCCCTGGGTTTAGTTTTGACCCACCGCCTGAGAGAAGCGAGAGAGCACCAGACAGGTGCCAGCTCTGGGGGACTCTTTGGAGGCCCGGGCCAGTGAAAGCCAGGTTGAAAGCCCCCGGGCCGTTCCGGGCAACGGTCCACGTAGACGTTTCTTTTCTTTTTTTCTTCTCCCCCCTTTTTTCCCCCCCTTCTTTTTTCCTTGTTCGTTTCCTCCTCTCTTTTTTTTTCTTTTCTCGCAGAACGTTTGTTTTTGTTGCGGGGTTCATAGAGACCACCTGGGAGATCTCTTCGATTTCTGAGGGAGATGTTCCAACCTTTTTTTTCCCTCCCAAAACAAAAACAGCCATGCAGTTTTAGAAGGGTCTTGTAGCGGGTTCTGAGAGTTTCCAATTGTGGGCAAAAATCGCGAAGTGGACAATGTCATCGTTCTGACCACCTATGGTTACACTTCAACTTACATTTAGCCTGTGGACGAAGCCTACAAGTTTCTTATCATATGTTTTCGGGCTCGGCGCACTTCATAGATCAGAGGCGGACAGTACAGCTAAATTTGTAGACGTATTCGATTCTATCCAAACCAGCACCTGCAATCTTACATGCTTAGCCAAGAATAATATTCAATTTCGTGTGTCAACGGATTGTGAAGGATTTGTGGTGCTTTTATGGCGAAGCGTGCAGGAGGCGGGCTCTTCGGAGCGCGGGAGGCCTAGCTTCTGGGTTTGGGACACCAACATGAAAGACCACAGCGCTCACATGGGGTCTCACGCGAAATGTCTTGCTCCGTCTTCAGATTGCATTTCCCTCGTGTTTCTGGAAGATTGCGCAAGCATCGTGCAAAGAACCGCTGCGCGTTTGCAGTTCATGGATTGATGCTCTAGAGTTTCTCTGGAAAAATGTGCAACATTGCATTTTGATAAAACACATTCGCTGCAGTTATGATCTCTTTGTTACAGGTGTGTTGAACCTTCAATGATGGAAATCACTTTTTCTGACCTTGGTGCAGACCACGAGGAAATTGGCATTGGTGTTTGATTCTCGCCCAGGGCAAGCCGCCTCCGTTTCCTTTCTCCGAGTCCTGGAACTTTGTTCAGCCAATTATTGGGATTTCCAATGCAGTTTGCGTGAACACTTCGACTCTTCCAAGATGCCAACGTTGTTTTTTGTGGAGACACTTCCTGGAAGCTTGGTGCTTGCAGGTGGAACATAGCTCCCAAAAATTGGACGGATGCGGATGGAGTAATGCCGGTGTTGGCTGAAAGCCTGCGCTGCACATGTGTTCGATGCAGGTGGCTTGCTGTCAACTGCATTTCATGCTCCAAAAGGATCCATCATGAGACTTGACCCGTGCACTCTTCCCCGAGGCCCTCCTCTGGTGCAGGCAGGGCAGCTTCAGATGTGGGAGGTGCTCGTCACCATTCTTTGAGCCATTTGCCAGGGTCGTAAAGAGGGTCATTGTACTTCTTCTGGGGTAGATTATGAACATTCGAAGCATGCTCCGATCTCAATTACCAACAGCTGGTGGGCATAAGTGACACGGCAAACACGGCCTGGCATTCGTCAGGGTCTGAAGGGCAGGACCAATACTTCCAGCCCGAGTTTTGCACCTTCAGTCACCCCACTCTACCCTGGACAGGCAGACACATCAATCCATCAAGTGAATCTATCAACCGCCAGGCAGCATCTCACTTTTGTTTTGAGGAGGACAACATAGAGTGATGCGGCACGCAAACCCCATTTTTTGTTTCTTCCCTCAGCAGCCAGAACCACATGCAAGCCTCGGGGAGGGAGAAGCACTGCTGGTTGGAAGCCCTCGCGGGACCTCCAACTGCTTGTGAAGACTTGGGACATACTTGCTGGCGTGACATCTTGCCTTGGGGCACATGGGGTGCTCGCGCGCCAAGGCGCCAGCGGAGCAAGTCTGTTTGGAGGCGGAGGCTTGGGGTCGGGTCGACCTAAAGATTTGACCCAACGCAGATATTCAGCTTCCAGGGGCAGAGATCTAGCAGACCTCTCCGAATTTCTCTGCGTTTCCCATGTTTGACTCAGAGCTTCCCATCCACTATCAATTTTGCTTGGCGCTTTGCAGGATGCGTGTTTTTGCTCCCACTCAGCCCCCGATCTTGGCGTGTTCTGGTTCGAGCGAGGCGCGAGCAGCGCCGGCGGCCTCTTCGGAGGCTGGCTGGTGTTGGTCGGGGGTGAGGCCCAAGCCCGGTGCTCAGTGGCCGTTGGCTGTGGGTTTGTTCCCTTTCTTGTTTGGTTCCTTTGCAGCAGCTGCTTGAAAGCGCCACATTTGTCGTTCATTGCCTCTGAGGGACACTGAAACCAGGCAAGGCTGCAGGTTGCCTCAGCACCAGGGTTGCAGCCGTGCCATGGAAACTTGTCTCACGGCCACGTTTCGAGTGCAGGAGAACTGTCACCGCTGGATCAACATTTTCTGTCGGGCTACACACATACGGACAGTGGATCGTTTGGCTGGAAGGGCTCGGACCAGGATGTCCGAAAGAACAACGTTTTTCACCATGAGAAGCCGTTGAGCTGGTTTTGGTTTGGCTTCAGCCGGAAAGCTGCTGTTGGACAACTTACTTTCCCAAGCCATCTTGCCCATCTGCGTTGCACTGGTACTACCAGAAGATCATGGGCATGCTCTAAGCGTCATCAATAGTGGCCTTGTTTTGTGCTCGTTGGGCCCCACTGTCTTTTGTGGGAACCATTGCTCTAAACACAAAAAAAGACGCTTGTCAATCTAGCCCTTTTTTGAGTGAACGTTTGCTCTGCAAAGTGTGGCCCTTTATTCGAAACGAACTGTCAGGACCCTCCGCCCTCGTGTTTTGGGTCTATGGCTAACCTCCCACAATGCCCACTGACAAAGAACCACCAAGTCAGCTTCGCTTCATCCACTCCGAAGATCCCACACAAACATCCAGCAAAGCTGTCCCACGGACTAGCCCCAACAACTCAGCCAATTCTGTCATATGCCCACCGCATCTCTCGCAGCAGCGGAGGCGGAGGCGGAGGCGCTTAGAGTGCAGCTTGATTTCCTCGGATGTGCGGCCTTGACATCTCATTCCATCTGTTGTAGCTTTGGCAGACAGGGCCCTGGTGCCCTTGGTATTGCAAGAAGGCACCAGGTCGGTGTTTCGTATGTCATCGAGGCTATGTTGACTGCATTTGCCTGAACTGGGCTGTTACAGAGACTGCCATAACATGCAGAAAGCTGGCGCAGTAAAGTTGATCATGTCTATGTCATGCGTGTGGGAGGGGAGACAAGTTTCTCTTGAGCCTGTCTGCCTTGGAGGCCTCTTCGGTCGCAGGCTGGGGGGCCAAAAATCCTGTTTACCCCAAAAGTGAGAACCTTCAGCGGTTTTTTCCATACAGTTTTCCGGTTGTCTGCAAGGCCTTAGAACTTCCTAACCGCGTTTTCCGAGGCTTTGATAGGGCAATTGATTCACATACTCCTATCATAATTTTCTGATTGAAATGTGGTTACGGCCGACGGGCAACAGAGCCTTCTCTTCTGTCCCAGCGGCTTTCCCATGGCAGAAAAGGACACC